CCGTCACGTTGTGACTGTCTTATATACGAGTATATACAAGACTAACACTATATCTAGTAATCTTCCGACAATTCACGAAGGTTCGAGAGAACGAGTGGCGTGACACTAGTCACGTGACCTCGCTGACGCAACAATACAAACAAAACCAGGTTTGCACACAAAATACACCTCATACGCATGAGCTTTTTCCAATGTAACTTGAATACGAGGTTGTGTCAGTCCTTCACTATTATCTGATTGATCGATAAAGATAATAACTTTCTATTTCTGGACATCATGTGACATTCTCCTCGAAGAAACTTGGCTACGTGCTAGTTAGTGCCCCACATCTTGTTTGCACAAAAACAATGTGACTTGAAGTGTTTATTTGAGCAACACTATTTCAAAACAGGAAACTGAAAAGCACAATAATTTCGAAAAATTGTACATTTTAACTAAAGGGGTAGCAAACACAGCATAGTCCTTATTACTGGAGGGCCTGATTGTTATACTCTTTCATTTTATACTGGTATTTTCAACCATAAGACTATATTACAAATGAACACTTGATTATTAATAGTTTTTACTATAGTTTGGTTTGGTTTCTTTTGAATTTCGCGCAAAGCTCAGGCCCGCAGAATATTTGAAAGAGGGGTTCTAATTTGTGAGATCAAAAGGCAACACATATTGTGAGAAGCACAATTAGCATACAGAGCTGGCTAATGCTACGAGTGTTTGAGGCATGCGACTATTTCAAGCTAAAAAATGCTTATGCTTCATCAGAAGAATACAGACTATGTGGAAAACGTTAATATCATAAGCAACTGCGCTATAATTATATAAGAGTAATTTGGTTTTTACTGAAGTAAGATCTGGTTTGACTTTGGTTTGTTTTGTATTTCGCGCAAAGCAACATGAGAACTATCTGAGCTAGTCGTCCCTAATTTAGTAATGATAGACTAGAGGAAAGGTAGGTCAACACCACCCACCGCCAATTCTTGCGTTACTCTTTCACTAAAGATTAGTAGGACTGACATCACATTATAACGTCCCCATGGCTAAAGGGTGAGCATGTTCGGTGACGGGGATTCGAACCCACGGTCCTAAGATTGCGAGTTGAGCGCCTAAACCACCAGGCCATGTCAGGCCCAGGTTGTACAATAGCTATCATGACAAAAACCTCTTTGCCACCCATTGTCAGTCATGTTGTCTCACTTCAAAATTAGCCTTGAAATAAACTAACTATCAGAAGTGATCTGGTATTTTATAAGCACAGAAGACAGCTAAACTAAACGATAGCGAGATAAATACATAAAATGTAAATATATTAATAATAATTAACAAATATATAGAAGGACTTCCACCTCACATGGTGTATTTGTAAACATACCGATTACAAGTCAAAAGAGGTAATTATTATTTCTATATTATTAAGAATCAAAAAGTGAGAAAACTTATACCACATAAACTGTAAATAATAAACAGATATTTATTTGTTTGTTTTTTAATGTTCTCAGCTTTCTCAGTTATAGTTTACTGTTGAGGCCCACGGTTTCGCGCCACTCAAATACCTTTGTCAAAAGACATGCTTGTGCCAACTTTTAAAACGAATTTGCATTATTACAGCCTAATAACTGATAATATAATATTTTTTCTTATGCTAAATAAACAGATGGAATGGTGATCGTAAGTGTCGTCTATAGCAGCAAATAAAATATGAGTCTAAGATCATGATAATTTGGCATATTATATTCACAGTAGGTGTGGGTTGGTCCTGTGGTATTTGAAAACAACGTTTTTCTATCTTCTTGTATATTAAGATATTTATTCTGAATTTATTCTTTGTTCTGTTTAATGCGTAAATTTCAATTGAAACTTGGTCAAGCAAGTTATCAAGTTTGTTTCTTTTTAATGCTACATTTATTCCTTTGTTATTTTCAAAAAACGGATAATACTTGATATCGCCCAGGAAGAGTACTGCTTAATATAACATGCTGTATAAGGATGTCAACAGCAGCGTCTTTCAATGGTTTTCAGGTCATGACACTATCTATGCTGTAATGATAATGACCAGTCCTTGAATAACGCATGTCACCTTGAATAAATGCAAAGCTTCTTATGAACTAAGAAACTTTGCATTTATGCAGTTTGATCTGGAACATCAGTTGAACAGTAATAATTGAAACTTGGTTTTCAGTAGTCAGTCCTGTGATCAAGTAAAGATGATCGTCCTGTATGAGTAAAAGCAGGTATGCACACTGTGTTTCTGTTTTAGAGTGTATGGAATGGCCTAGAGATTACGGCACATAACTCATAATCTATGGGTCGCAGGATTGAAACTCGTCACCGAACATGCATACGCTTTCAAAGTCTGACTTTGTTTGCCAGATCTGAAATCCAGAGCTCTGTGGTATATCCAGGTGTATATCCCTACTGTTTGATTTGACAAGAGAACCTGTTTAGTAGCTTTGCATGAAATTTAACACAAACAATTCTGAGTAATATCCATGGGCGTCCACGGAGAGGGGATATACTTGCCCACAGATGGAAAATAAGAAACATAATTCTTTCTTTATTATTCAGCATATGTATGTTAAAATTCTTTTCATTTCATAATTTCACACTACTTTGCCCCCCCCCCTCCCATGGAAAAGTTTCTGTGGACGCCCATGGTAATATCTTATTCAGATTTTATCAAATGACAGCATTCCATAAAATGTAATACACAACAAAAAGGATGATGTGTTGAGTTAACGTTGGGTTTAGTATAGTAGATTGGACGGTTTAGATGGAACAACTGGCCCTTTGTTCTCCTTATTAATCACCCAGGTAATATAAACAAGAATAACATTAAAACACCCAAAGCCAGCCCTTATTATTTAAATATTTATCAAGCCTTCCCTTTAACGCTCTTTAATTATTCGCATTTACCACATCTGAAGGCAAACCATTCCAAAAGCTACTCTATTAGAAAAATAAAACTGTTTTATCTGAAGATAACTCCCACCTGCCCAAATTTATATTTGTGTTCCCTAGTCCTATCATTCTGACCATAAAGTACGAAAAAGATGACGCATCAACACTGTCAATTCCCTTAAAAATTTGAAATACCTCAATGAGATCCCCTTTAACTCTTCTTATTCTTTTTTCAAGAGAGAACACTTTCAGATATTTTAATCTATCCTCGTATGAAAACCTTTCCATCAAAGGTATCATCTTAATAGTCCATCTTTGAATCATTATGGTATTTTCAGTTTAAAAAACCCGACGTATTGACAAGTATCAGGCAGGCAAACCCGCAAATAACAACAGGTTCGATCAAGAAATATGGAGAATGTTTTGTAGTTGATAACTTGACTGAATTTTAAGTTGCTTGAGAAATAAAACGAGATTAGACACATTTAAATGATAGTAAAACAATCCTTATTTAGGTGCAATTAATTAACTGACATAAAAAGAAAACAGTACGGATTCCTGCATAGACAACTGGACCATAGCCTGTACTAGATCAGTGAATAGCTTACCAGTATTCCATTTGTCGAGATGAATCTCTGCAGAACTAGCCACAATGAAAGCCAAATAGAACTGGACAAAGAATGTGTGTCTAGATTTTAAACAACAGCTTGCTTTTTTGTCCATTGAATGGTGTCACCTTGTGACCTTCATTGCCTGACAGCATTGGCCGGTTTCAGTTTCAGTTGATATCACAGTTCACCCAGCGAATTATATTCCTATTTTTAATATGTTTTAATCCAGGCTCAGGATACTCTGAAATATATCTGTGGACAGAAGACATCATCTAACAAAAAAAACAAACAAAAAAAACAACAACATAGGGATGAGGTGGCTCGAACAAGCTAATGACAAAAACAATGAATCATATGTTGCCACCATGATGGTCCAGAAACTAGATAATCAATATTGAGTTTGCTCACCTATACGAAACGTAGGATACGAATTATGAGAACCTAAATGCATTACCAATTCAAGGTGATTTGCTAACTAACTATCTGTGCTGCCAAACAATTGTTCTATGTTGCTCTGTGGTAACTCCAAACTGTCCAATCGACTCGTAAGGCGAGAATTCAAAATCGACGCTACTACGAACATGGTAAAAACGTTTCGAATGTTCTCATTCCTCTTTTATGTAGTACATTCTAACCAATTCCATAATTTAAAATTTTATATAAAAAACACTAGGAAGCTTATTTATTTTGATTACTATATATTGTTACCACAAAGCAGGTCATGTGACGCTGGTAACACGTCATTGACTTCTAGAAATATCCTGTTCCTTCATGAATGCTCTAGTGTTTACTAGATATGTGTTAGTCTAGTATATATAAGACGGTCACAACGTGACGCAACAATGTGTGTGTAATTGAACTGAGTATTGTTGAGTCGAGCACGTGAGGCGTTCATTGAGAATTATAGCGTTTGTTATAGCGCGACTGTTGAAATTAAGTGTATCGCAAAGTTATATTCAGAAAGAATAAACCAGTTTTATTTAAGAAAGGACTTCTATTGGTAAAGTTTCTTCGGAAAGAATTTTTACGGAAAATTAACGAACGAACGGAGACGTAACAATACCAAAGTGTGCTACAGCTCAAATTGTCCTAACAAAGTGTCATTTATAAGAAATCAAAAATCATTGTAAGCAATAAATTCCAATGAGATTAACAGTACAGGTGTAATAAGAACTAGTAATTTGAGCTTTTAAACTTTCAGTGTGTCAATTGTTTACTACAACGAGAAACTTTCTAAGCCACAGCTGTTATGGAATATTGTTAAAGGTCAAAATCTAAGTGTGTGGTAAATGTTGGCATAATTCTCTTTCAACCTAAGTATTATGCAAGTATGTAAGAAACCAGAAAACTACAGTCATATGAATGTTTTGTGGCCTCGAATTTTACAGCTATTTGTTCTCTACCCTGATGATACTTATTTGCTTTATGAACAGGATTATTTTGTGCTTATTGTTTTGTGAATAGCAATTTGATCCTTTTATAACCAATACTTACCATTTTGGTTCATTGCACAGGTGTTGTCTTTTAGTGCTTGATCAGATAAACTACAAGCAGAATTTGAAGAATCTGTCACTCCATCTTGTAGTTCTTGCCTAAAACATTTTTCACAAAAGTATTTAATCTGGCAAACAATACTATTTCAAAACACTGCACAAAAGAATATACTACCCCATTCATGACATCAACAAAAATTAAAACAAAATCATGTTTATTATTATAGTATTTAGTTTATACAAATTTCAATGTTTTATGATTCTCAAGAATCTTATAAGTTAATGATATCTCACAGTTAAGTTTTAGAAATAATACATGTAAATTCATGGAACTGTACTGAGATAACTAAAAATAATTCATGGACAATCATTAATACAATTGAAATGTAACAGATAGCTAAACTTCCTTTGTTAGAAGTTTCTTTAGTAATCCAACCTAATTCTAGTTTCACTTGATGTGTGTTTTGAAAAAAACAAGTGTAAAAGACACAGTTAGGGCTCTCATATTTTTATGCATTTTTAATGAATGACAGAACTCCAATATTATATAAACCTTTGACATTAAGTGGTTTTAATGGTAAAAACAAAATATTGAATAAGTTTTTCATTTTTGATAAAATAGGAAGTACACTTCTTTTATGAACATTACCATACTTCAGTTCAGTGTACAATAATTCTTAAATGTTTTGTTTTACATATTCAGTTCTTTAGGTGGAACCTTGGGCCAAAATATAAATTTTTCCAGTTACATAAAAATATGAACTATTGTTTCAGACATATTTAAATACTCAACATTTCCATATTACAAGAGACTAGTCAGAAGATTCAATGCTGAGTAGCTATTTGAAAGGCTTACAAAACCCCTCAAAACATCTTCATCATTAAACAGTACTAGTTTATCTTCCCTAGATAAGCATTTATACATTTATATCATTTTATACCCAACACCGCCATTAATATACACTGAATAAATGAAAGCTACCAAACTTATGTAAATACCAATGCAGAATATGTGCCTATTAAATACGAGAGCTTGAAGCTGTTCACATACCTAACGAGTTCCAGGATTTATTTTCAACATTATCATATCAAACACACAGAATTCACAGTCAGTGACAAAATATCTTAAAAATTAGCCTAGTTGTAATTGAGGTGTTAGGGACTGATATAACACCAAAGGGCAGTACTCTATGGATTTTTGTTACTTGTTAGAACCTCTACATATTTCAATTTGAAATCTAAAAAACTGAGAGGATGAAAAACCATGAGCTAACTGAATTGTTGGACAGCTTCAAAAATTGTCCCAGTGGGAATATTGGTCAGTTATAGTATGAAAATAATATAGTATGAAATATTTGAAGTTACTTCTGACAAATTTTACTATTTCTTATTATTTTCAAACATAAATGGTATATCTCTTAATTTTAGTACTTTATACTCAAACATGCAGTTATGTTTAGTCAGTATTTAAGCTCTAAACAATTTTTCGTTGCACTATAAAACTGAAATTGAAAAGAACCAGAAAATGATCTGAATGTGTTACTTCACATTTTTTTTTTACAAATCCAGATGTAAACTTTTATATTTATACCAAGGGAACATATTAATTCTAACTATTAGAATATTTCTATAAATTCTACTCTTGTAATCAAATTGGTGACATTTCATCTATATATTCGTATGTAAATAAATGCAATAAAACTAATGTGGACATACCCAGCACTGAAACACTTCCTTTTTTTTATATTAGATGGCAAATCACTATGGTCATTCTGTGTTGTAAAGGTTCTGTTTTGTTTTAAATCAGAATCATTCCCAAAGTCTTTTCTATAAAGAATGATAAACATAACCATTAATTATAAAAACAATTTAAATGAAATAAGTTTAATAAAATAAGTATTTGTGATACATCTATAGGAAGTTACAGATGTTATGTCTTAAGTTTTGATTTTAATTTAAGTTAGTATGCCAATCAATCAAATAGAATAGAAAAAAAACTTTCTATTAATATGATCTTCAGAGATGTGCAGCTTTGGCATAGCCGATGTTTCAAATATGCAAGTAGTCACTTAAAATTATAATACTTAAATGCTTGTAAATGATAATTTCTTTCAAGCTATATTACATTAAAATAATTCTTTTTGCATGTTTAATAAAAAAATGTTGAAAACAAAAAAATAAACCAGTAAATCTAAACACTCACTCTAATTCTTCTGGCTTTTCTGTGTCTGTTTCATCTGAAATATCTGATACATTGCGTTTTCGAGCATTTATAACCGAGAGTTCTTCCTCGTTGTTTTTGTATATTTCTGAATCAATGTTGGTTAGGGATTTGGGGGACAAGCAGCACATTTGTGTCACCGATGTTTTGCTAGTCAAGTTTTTGTTTTCACTCTCTTGCTCAAGGCAAGAATTAGGGAAAAGTGTTTCATTAATATTTGCAAGTTTCAATTCAGAACTACAGTCAACACCACAAATAGTCCTATTGTTAGGCAAACTATCACTAGTTGTACCTTTTTTTGACCAAACACTTGTAACACCTAATTTGGTTTCACTGTCTGTAATGGTTGATACTTTGTGTTGAATGACAGTGTGGCTTTCTTTACAATCACTCTCTGATGGAGGATGTAAATATTCTTCAGAAGAAATTGTATTTAAAGCAACTGAAGATGCCTCATAATCTTCTTCTATGGTTCTTTGCTGTGCTGGATAATTTTTCTCTACAACAATATGTGCTGCATTATCTTTAAAATCTTCCTCGTGGCCATTGCTTTGTCCTGAGTTTTGTTTCTTTTTGTCACACCTATCTACATGTACTTCTTCACAACTACCAAGCCCACTAGAAATAGATGAAACATCATCATCAGATTTATCCATTCCACTAAGCCTAGAAGGCAAATGTGTGATGTTATCTTTTTCTGAAGAAACTGATGCTAAATGAGTAGGACTTTTAGGTTTAACCTGAATACTGGATGAATCATTTACACCTCCAGTTTGTTTAACTGCCATGTTTTGGCAGTTTTCATTTTCCTTGGTGTTGATAAGAGTAGAATTCTGAGATTGGTTTTGCCATTTTCCAATGATGGAGTCAGCTAAACAGTCGTTTCCAGCACTTCCAAAGGGTCCACATAAAAACTTGTCCACAACATGATTTATAATCTTTTGTTGACTTGTTTGAAATGTTTTGGACTTTCTTTTGCACAAATTAAGTGGCTCCTCAGCAAGCACACTCATACTGGATTTGCTAGTTGGACCTGAAGGAGAATGGAGTGTTTGATAGGAAGAGATGGAAATACAATCCTTTATGGGTGATTGGGGTAACATTTTTCTAACAGTGTTAGATGACATTAAAGATTGTTTTTTGTCACTGAATGCATGGTCTATAATACGACTGGCAATGTCAATTTCCATCATTGGCATCAAAGTATTTGTCTGTCTTTTCTGGAGTACACAAATCTTATCCACACCTCTAGATAAGCCATAGGGATGATTAGAATAATCTCTACTAAACATTTCCCTAGAATGGTGGTCAGATGATTTAGGTATTTTATTGTACTGTCTAGACGCTGCAGGAATACAACCCTATAAAGAAAGTTTTTAATCATTAATCTAGTATTTTTATTTTATGAATAAAACAAGGAAACAAGTTGAAACTTATACAGTGAAATAGTAATGATATCAACAAAACATAAAGCAAAATGTGTTTAAGAGAAAGGTTTTACGTTAATGAAGTTTTATTTTGATCTTGTAATGCAAAAGTACATACAGTTTTATAATTTCCATGAATATTCACTTATATCATAAATACACGTCATCTTCATACATATATATATATATTGTTACGACAGCGGAGGTCACGTGACGCTGGTAACACGTAATGAGTATCTAGAAAGATCGAGGAACTTGTCGAACGTCCTAGCGGTTGCTAGAATGGCGCTCTTATAGTATATAAGCCGGCAAATAAAGTGACGACAGCGATTGAATAGCAGACAGAGAGACTGAAGATATAGACGGACAATTGAGTCAAGTGCGGTAGTAAGTAAACTGCGTGAATCGTTCGTTGATAATTATAGTGTGTGTGTTAAGTTAAAGGGACTGTGGAAATTAAGTGTATTGCAAAGTTGAATTGAGAAAGAATAAACTAGTTTTATTTAAGAAAGGACTTGTATCGCTGAAGCTCTTCAGAAAGAATTTTTACGGGAAATTAACAAACGAACAGAGACGTAACAATATATACACACGCACACATGGGCAGTTTAAAAACAACAAGGGACTTGTTGGTTCATCAAGCCAACCCATCCAAAGCCAGCCCTCATCATTTGATTATTTATCAGGGTTTCCCTTAAGCTATCTTAAATTAATTGCATCCACCACCTCTGAAGGCAACCCATTCCAATGGACTCACCCTCTTAGAAAAATAAAGCTGTCTTAGCTAAAGATAACCCCTACCCTGGCAAAATTAATATTTTTCTCCTCTAGTTCTACCATTCTCACCATTATGATAAAGTACAAAAGAAGATGATGCATCAACACTATCAATTCCCTTAACAATCTTAAACATCCCATTCAGATCCCCTCTAACTCTTCTTCTTCAAGAGAAAATAATTCTGGAGATCTTAGTCTGTCATGGAATAACCACCTTTTGATCCCAGGTATCATTCTAATAGTAATAGCCCTTTTCTTATTCTTAGCCCTTACCATCTGTAGGTGATATTTACATATTAATACAATATATTTAGCGTGTTTTATAACTTACCAACAAAACGACTTAACTAAATGTGTTTTAAAAATTGCTAAACATAAAATAAACAAATACCAGAGATATACATTTAAATTTGTATTAAAGTTAAAAATAATTTTTAATGGTACTCTGTCAATAAATTATTCAAGTTAATTAACAGCTTAAAACTACAATTAGATGTAGGTGATTAGAAATTCCTTGATTTTCCTAATCATACTAAATATATAATTGCAGTATTTTATTAAAATATACTTTGAAGTCAGCTCACCAGAAAATTTCATTTTCTGAAATGAAAAAAGAATAATAATTAATCTGTGATTTAATTTTCTTCAAGTAAACTACATAAAACTTATTTTATCCACTTCTGCAACCCATAAATAAGAATGGACGTAAAATTACCTCAGCTAATTCCAGTAACGCTGAGCAAGCACTTGATGTTTGAGGGTCGGCAGATAATTGGTCCTGGTCAGATTCAACTGCTGGTTTGAAAGCTCCATTTTGAACATACCGTTTCTTAGGAGGTTTAGAGAAACTTAAGTGGCCATTGGGAGACGCTACTGTGAGAGGTGTTGTTGGAGTCTCAGGTGTCAGTGGGGATTGTGTTACTCCTAGGAAATTAATTATTAAGATATGTGATACTGGTCATATATTGATGAGGTAAAGCATTTTCTAACCTATGTTTTTATTAATTTTCTTATCTAGCTGTCTAGAAAACAATTCATCAAACCCCCAGATGAGAGCGTTTTGTCGTTGTTCTTTTTTATTATCAAAGAAAGCATCCTGTAACCAGGTGCAAAGTTAAAAAGGAAATTGCAACTGTATTTGATTTATTACTTAAATGCACATTACAGTATAATAAGCCCTCTGTGGTCAACATGTGCTAAAATTAATTTGATTGAACGGTAAGCCAAAGCGTTGAAATATTATCAAATACAATGTTTGGTTTACACAGAAATTGGGGGGTAATTACTATCATCATATCACGTTTTAAGTTTTGGTTTGTTTTTTTTTACTGAAAAAAATATCACAAATGCTTCATTAACTTATATTTAGTTATTCAATACTTGCTTTTATGTGTTTATCTTATCTCACGTTCCTTGATGCTAATTTAGAATACATTTTTGACGTCTTTCAATGAAGTGATACTAATGTTCTTAAGATTTTTTAAAGAAATTATACAGCAACGATTTTATAAAAATCAAATATAAGCAAAAATGATAATATATACTGCGGGCATAAATATAAATAGGGATATCTATCATTTAGTATCATTAAAATTATAATTCATACAGAAATAACGACTTATAAATGCAGAATAATTTATTATATATACTTTTTAATAGATGGCGATAGTTACTATCGAAATATAATTTCTGTAACTTACCTCTATTAGGCGTACAATCAGCTTCACCAGAACAAGGTTTTCTGTATAATTCTAGCTTCAATGCTCTCTTGTTCAAAGACTTAGAACTAACTGTGTCTGAAGACGTCTTTAAATGTGGAATATTTGGTTGTCCGTTCATAATTGTTTCTTCGTACTATAAGAAACACCAAAAGTACGTATGTTTGTGTATTTCCTCAATAGATGGCACAAGCAAATTTTCTATTTAACGTATAATCAATGTATAAATATACTCACATTTTCTCCTTTTTGTAAAATATTTTGCCAAGATGGAAGGAACTTGCCCCTAGATGTTATCATGTTCATTTTTATATTATTAAAAGACCTTGTTTAGCTACTTTTTTGCTAAGCATACCTATAGTGATGATTTACATTTCTACATGACAGAAATAACAGACATGGCGTCGTTGTTGTGGGTTTTTAATGTATTCAATAGTAAGCAATCGATAGCTACTCTTCTTTTATATTGCAAGAGTTATTTATATCGAAAGATTCTTATAGTGTGATTTTAAGAATCCGTATGAACGCTTGGTAATATTACAATAGCCTCGTTACACGAAATTTACAAAGCAGTGAAAGAAATTCAAAAGTTATAATGGAAATACAGCCAAGGATGCAATGATGTGTTGTGTAAATTGGTTTATTTTTTTAAAATTATAACCTATTGCATTTTGAATATGTCTTTCAAGAAAAGAATATGTTTACGGTTTGTGACACAACAAGAATGATTTATTTCATCAGACGACGTTCGATAACACAAGAATGTAGTACGTCAAATATGTTAACCAAGTTCGCGTTTTGATATATTATTCTGTATTTACAAAATTATTGATATTGCGCTTATTTAGTTTTTGACTATAATGAAGAGGTACACTTTTTTTTTCTTAACCTTAATATAGGTCGAATAGTGAGTACGAATGAGCACGTGTATTTGACCAGAATGGTACTTTGGTCATTCATTGCACCGTATCCGTTTGCTTTTCCCCTCAATAGAGAGAATTGATAAAGATATGGTCATCATACTCGTGTGTTTGGTCTTGATAAATTTTCTAAGTAGGGCACTTCCCGTGTCAAAAGTTAAACTCAAAAGGTTATAGTCTGAGACTGTAAAACGTAGTTCCGTAAGCAAGCTACTCCTGTGGTTATCTAAAGCGTGGAAATTCATTTTATGTTATTCACTGATCATTCACAAATAAGTAAAAAAATTATATATGTATTATATATAACGAGGTTTACTTTAAAACATCGAAAACACTACGGCTATTGATATTCCAGCACTAGCTATCGAGAGATCCACATTATTAATACTCTTTTTATTATATTATTGCAACCTTCTTAACCAGTCATGTTTCAATACATTTTAAGCGTCTTTGAATGTAAATTGATAACGGTTTTCTTACTGGCGATGTTTACACTTATTCAGAGAGTTTTAACGTCATGCCTACTCAAGCTTTTCGAATAGTTTAGTTTCATAAACAGAATCCATACTCTTTCGCAAAATACGTAAACTCAAGTAAGCTTCGCTGTTTATGAAAACGTATTATTTTCTAAGACATGTAAAACAAACTAAACATTCACTAATGAAGATATTTCATTTGCTTTTGATTGGTGGAAACAGGGTATAAAATCGCTTCCAAACAATACTTATACTTGCCTGTTTCCTAAGAGATTGGAAGAAAATGAAACTTAGTTTTTTACAAGCTTGTGATAACAGCCAAGTTAATATGCCTTTTACGTAGGTTTTAAAACAGTTAACTTGTGGTAAGTCATAAATAAGACATGTCATACTTCAAAGTATTCATGTATGTCCATATTTATAAACACAGTTTAAGTGGGTCAAGTAATTTTTACAAAATCCAATTTAAAATCACGAACCTGTAAATACTTCATATTGCTCTAATACAAAATTATTTCTTCCGTATACACGTTCTGAACAAAGGCAATTTCTCAGTTTCAATGGATAAAAGCTTACAATCGCTCATTTTTCGTAAATTAACTTCCTTCCTTAAAAGAGGAAACTGTATGTGATAGTGTTTTTCTCAATGGTAATAAACCCTTTTTTTCTGGAATAAATACAGGTAATGCTTCATGCAGTTCCCTTATTAATATTATACATACATACACAAGCACGTTGTTATTTTAGAGAATAATGGTTTGAACGGTACAAATGTAACATTTAATTCCCATACACTGAGCTCGAGTTGATGTTGCAATAGTTACAAGATTACTTTAAACCCCATATTGCCCAGCTTCATTAGTAGGATTACCTTCTGAAAATATGATTAACTGAATTTTAATGAAAGCAAGTTTTAGTGGCAATTTATTAAAACTTTCAGTTTCTTAATTAAAACGACTATTTACATATCGTAGAAAAAGTTAACTTTTAAATACCTGCTTTGCCATTTCTGTGTAGGATGCCCTTTCCCTTGGTTCTAGTTTTGACCACCAGTCTTGTAAGACCATAGTTATGTTGCCATTATCCAAGTGCGGATATCGTTCCCGTACAATCTCGAAATGTCTATGGCAAAACATTAAGAATCCGTTAGTTGTCCAGTGAACTCCCCTTTTCACAGTTTCATCCTTTTCTGGTTCATTTTGGTCTTCCCCATCTTCTAGCTCCACCTGGTGAGAAATAAACACACAATAAAATTGAGACATTGTTTTATGAATAAGTTAGGCACAGTAAACAATATTATTGTTGAATCTTATACGGGTTGCAGTTCATATAAGATTCAACTTCAGCAGCATGGACGTAATAGCTTCATTATTCTGATCAAGCAAAATTTACACTAACAGTTGTATATAGTAAAGAATTATGTAGAATTCTTATAAAAATATAAAAGAAAAACTCATAACATGAATAAGTCACTAAGAAAACTTTCATATTCTCAGAGGCGTCGCTAGGCGCTTAAAAAAATTCGGAGTTCGGGCCAGTAGGCGCGGGAAGTTTTGGCGTTTCGGTATGATATTGATCATGGATTTTGAATTTGATTTTTCAAGACAACTGGGGATTCATGGCTCTGTCAAATAGAATCGGGGTACGGACTTCGTATGCCAATGTCTAGCGACGCCTCTGCATATTCCGCGTTCGTAAAGATAACACTGCTGTAATATTTTATTTACAATAAATTCTTAATGCATCTAACCTATAAAAGTCTAGAATCTAATACTGGTTATTGGTATTATATACTTTCTACAACATCAAGTAAACATTTACTAAATAATTACCTTGGACACCAGCTATGAATGAACGTTTATTATGCTACACATACGTTTTCAAAGATACATTGATACACAAGTTCAAAATAAAGTGGTGTGTAAAATAAAAGCTCTTCGGATCGTCATTCGTTTAATAAGATCATTTTCTCGTACGAGCTATTCATGTATGCATTCTTAATGTACAGCAACTACAAATTTGATTATTTTATTTTTTTTCATAATTAAACTTGCTATATTATCTGTATAAATTCAGTGCACAGTTCAAACATGCCGAATTGGTTAATGGCAATTATATACATACACACACACACATATATATATTCTTCTTTATTAACTGCCCGATAAGTATGCCCCCCTCAATGCTACAGCGGTATGTCTGCGGACTTACAACGCTAAAAACCGAATTTCGATACTCGTGGTGGGCAGAGCACAGATAACCCATTGTGCAGCTTTCTGCTTAACTTCAAACAACAACAGTCGATAAGTATAATTAAACCGACGGTAGTTCCTAAATTTTAATTTTCAAAGCACTGGAGGTTACGACAAGAAGTAAAATTTTAGAATTTTCACAATAATACAACTTAATAAACACACACACAACAGATTAACATTTGTCTATACTTAAACAATAGCGAATGTTAGTGCATTTACGATCGTTCGTCCTTAAGTAAAAAGAAAATGTCAAAAACATTGTAAGATCAAACTTGCGTTAATATTGTGTGTGTATATATATATGCTAATATTGTTGCACAAAAAAGTAACACTTTTGTTAAGAAACGCAGGAACGGCATAACCCCCTGTCACAAACATGTACACACGTAGCGCCACTTCCGCGGTGCCTAACCATGCACGCACGTAGAATTGGAACTGTAAACAAGGTTCATTGCCCTCATCTCTGCGCATGACACACAAACGTTCTTGGTAGATTACAATGGCTTTGTTCGAGAAATGTTAGAAAACGTCACTTACGATTACAGTAAAATGCAATATCACACAAGCAAGTGTTGCTAGAAACAACAAAGGATATATAATAAATATCCTCACATTGAAAGTATAACATGAAATTTTATTTTCATAGCAAATCCTCGTAAAACAACCCATTGCAAGCAAACGTTTCTAACCCTACTTTACAGAACAGAATATTCATGTAGAACCTTCCAAAAATATAGACAAAAAATTAAGGAGTGACACACATTGACAGTTAACTAAAAATAAATATAACAATGTCACATTTACGAGCTTGCATTGAGACATATAGGTTATACAATGTTGGATATTGTAGAATATTTGAAATAATAAAAATTAAATGGTATCAAGTTTAGTTTACTTATAAAGTATTTACGATTGTTATCAGTGATATACATAAAACTAGAGAACCAATATTATTCTATACCTAATAATTCTGAATAACAGAATCTCTCCACTGGTAAACACTAAAATGGACATTGATATTCCTTCCATTTTTCCACGAGTACAGTACATTTTACTGCGGCCTTGTTTTTCGACTTAATGTCTCCAATATCAAAACGCATAGTCTCAGAATGACAGTCAAACTGTTTCACGAAATCGATTTAATGTTGAGACTCAAAACTTCGCATTGGAACCAGTTCATTTGGCCATTTAGCTTAAAGTAGCCCCCAGTGGCACAATGGTATATCTGCGGACTTATACTACTAGAAACCGGGTTTCGATACCCGTGGTGGGCAGAGCACAGATAGCCCATTGTGTAGCTTTGCGCTTAACAACAAACAACAAAAGCTTAAAGTATACAATCATTGTGATTGTAGACTTTATATTCTCCCGCGCATTAAAAGCTTGTTTTACCAGTTGTTGTTTTTTTCATCACAAAAAAAACTGCTCACAATTTTAATATGTTGCACGTAATCATATATTTAATATCTAAATATAAAGTGTAAAACAATGATTACGTAACGCACTTCCGTATTAAGTACTAGGATAGTCAAAGCAGAAAAAAAACAAAAAACAAGGAGGAATATCCAACAGCGGCGGCACTTGAAATTCTTTTAGGTAGGATTAGAGTAAATTAATCTATGAAACCTTTTTTCCCCGTTTAGTCAGCTATATTTTTGTGCGTCAGCAAAACCAAGCATGGAGTTGCACATTTATCCGGTTCTATTTCATTACTCATCAGGAACTTTACCAGCCTACCTTTAAATTAAAATTCTTTTAGGCAGGACTAGAGTAAATTAATCTATAAGACCTTGGGCATGTTCAAATACATCAATCGAAAGGGTTTGATCTCCTAAGTCTAAAACTGTAACAAGATCTCTATTCGGACAAGAGATGACGGAGCTATGAGTTAAAATTTTGTACTTCGAAAAACTGAGCCATTGCCGCGGCTAAAAGTGCTAAGACAGCTTAGAAGAATTAAAAAAAGAATTCATTGGTGCACTGACTTCAGGACAAGAGGCAAATCGGCATTACAACATTCGACGTAGCTCAGCGGTACGTCTGAAGACTTATAACACTAAAAATTGAGTTTCGATACTCGCGGTTGGCAGAGCACAGTAACCCATGGTGTAGCTTTGCACTCAATAACAAACAGGCCAAATCTCTACAGTGACTCAACTGGTATATTGAAGCCAAATTAAAGCTGTACGTACATCATAGACGTCACAAATAGATATATAATTATGCTCGTGGCTCTTATAACTTTAAGCTATTCAGTTTCGAACGATGATTCATGGCAAAAGTTCAAGTCTGTTCACAAAAGTATTTCTACCATAACTGACAGAAGCTTGAATGATAATCAGACAGATATCATCAAGTAAATGCACAAATTCCCCACAGCAAATGCTCAATATTTTAAACAGTCTCTATTTCGAAAGATATATATTCTAAAGAGAATAATGCTAACATTGGGTAGCAAACAATATGGCTGTTTTCATTTTAAAAAATATCTGAATGTAGATATTTTGGAATTCGGAAGCTGAGGAATCAATATCACTTGCAATTATGTAAAACTTTCGGAATACTAAATCTTTGGATTATATGGTTGATTTGCAAGTAAGAATTTTCAGGGTGTAACTCTTTGAATGTTCACCGTTCGTAGCATAAATACATGAAGAATTCTGGATTCTAGAACATACACTACTCACAGTACAGATTTTATTTTGGTTTATAAGATTACCCATTCGGAATAAATGTCATTCGCAATAATACTCTTTTAGAAAAAGCCTTGAATATTCACCATTTTAAAGTAAAGATTTTGAAACACAGTTCTTTAACATTCGAAATTTTATAACTGGATTGTAATACACGCCTTTTGGAATACACACCAATCATAACTCACATATTACCGAATGGAAGTCTGAATATACAACATATAGATCTTTTCGAATACAAGTATACACAAATCGCAAGTCGTGTTTTTCAGAAGGTAGTTTAACAGTATTTTTTCCTTAAACGCGCGGCAGTGGAAGTTAAAAGGATTTTATATATGTTTATATATTTAGTACTCACATACCATTGATCAACTGTATGTACAATAACTTTCACACTCAGTGAATATATCAGACCAAAAGAACAGAAATGTTGGAAGGCTGCTCCACATACACTCGAATGTCTACCGTGTATCAACATCAGTCTTTGAAAATGTGATACAGCATCAGATATACACCGCAATCTATAATATAAATTTAGACTTTTAAATTTGCATCACCACCTTTTATAGCCTTAACGAGTCGTACTAATGTGTAAAATAAGCTCTGCATATTAATGTTACGAATCAAGTCTGTAAACGTTTGAAAAATTATAATCTTTAAATAATTTAATCCCGCCAACAGTGTTTAAAATGTGTATTTTTGAAACATCTAACAATAAATTATAATTGAGGCTTAAAAGACACAAATAGACAGGAAGGTGTTTAGTGTTACAAAGCGTTTTTTTGACATGAAAGAAGTGAAAAGAGATATGGCTTGTAAAAAAAACGTAATCTGATCGGTGTGCCCTTACGTTTCTGTTGTCACCACTTTTCAAAACATGTTTCCATACTTAATTACCAAAATAAAAGTATTACCTAATATAGGGGGTAATGAGAAATCCCTGAAATACTATTCCACCAATCCACGAATAAACACACATTACAGTCAGAATTTATAAAGGTGAAGTTTAAAAGAATCCATTTTGCACATTCACGATATGATGAATGATTTAGCACTGTATGTGAACTTATATATCATGTGTTATCAGTTTGATGTATAAGATTTGAAATAAACTAAAAGAATTTTTAATGGCTTAGTATATGTCAAACCCTTCTTTCTCTGACGTTCGAACCAACATTATTAGCTTACATAAGGTCTCATTTATCCCGAAACTAGAAGAACGTTATCTTCTCAAACCCACAGAAAACCCACACAACATCTGGAAATCTACGAAGTGAG